GATCCAATGGTTTCCGCATTGTTGCTGCTTTCTTGTTGGAGGTGGCGCTGCAAGAGATCGGCGGTGTTGGTCGAGAATTTGGCTGTCAATCGGCGTTTGTTGGGGTCAATCACTTTGTAGGCCGGAGCAGTGTGTGCATCACTTCCGTAACTGAATTGATATTCAGCGCTATGGCTAAGTTCAATATTACAAAGTCCTGATCCTGATCTAGTATCTTTGTCTTCACCAGGGCATGTCTTGTCTGTGTTTGATACGGTATTCCTGCAATAACATTGCGTGTAATATGAAGGACCCGCATCATCGAAATAAGGGCAAGACAAAAGGAAATGGCTATAATTCTCTGCATGGCACCTATTATTGCATTCTTGCGCGTTTTGTTCGTCCCCAATAGATGTCTCAGATGCCACATAGACATCTATTGGTACCGGGTAAGAATCCGTAAGTGTTGCGCATCCCATCATCTGAAACTTCGGGGGGGAAATCACTTTGTAGACCGGAGCATCGTTGTTACCTCCGTAACCGAATCGATATTCAAAGCGATGGTTAAGATCTGCTAAGCAACCATTAAATTTGGCATCATCTGTGGATTCACCTTCGCAAAATTCTTCATCAGTCTTTACGGTACTCGTAGTCCCGCAATAACAACTTAATAAATAGTGGGTTTTCGCCTCATTTTTACGAGGGCAAGTCAAAAAGAAAGAGCTAAATGAATTGTCAGAGCAATAATCATTGCATTGTTGCAGCGAAGCCTCGTCCCCGATAGATGACTCCGAGTAAATCGAGACATCTATATTATAGGTAAAATCCCCAGGAGTTGCGCATCCCAACTTCTGAAACTTGGGGGTAATCACTTCGTAGACCGGAGCATCGTTGCTACCTCCGTAACCGAATCGATATTCACCGCTATGGTTAAGATCTGCTGAACAATCAGTACCTTCTGCGGCAGCTTTGTTTTCACCAGAGCATGTCTTGTCTGTGTTTGCTACGGTATCCCCGCAATAACAATCTATTGAATACATGTCGCTTTCTTCAGACTTAGGGCAATGAAAAAGGAAATACTTGTTGTTATTTTTCAAGCAAGATTCATTGCATGATCGCGCCTGTTCTTTGTTCCCAAAAGGTGGGAATGGGGTAGTGATGCTTGAAACCTTGTAAAACCCCTTGGATGGGTCTGTGCATCCCACCATCTGAAACCTTAATGATGATGGAGGGGTGAAGCTCAGCTCCACTGTGCCTTTGCACGTGAAAAAACCGTATCCAGAATAATAGCTGGGAGTAACTACAGTTTCAAAAGACACAGCGCCCGCTCCTACAGCTTCTGAGCCATCCTTCTTGTAACCCGTCAGATCGGTTACGACGCTTGTCAGTGCCTGCGTAACTCCGTTTTTCACCACCTTTTGTGTTCCGGCACACACAACCTCTTTGAATCCAACCACGGCATAGCCCTGGTCAACCTTTGCCTTGGTAGGACCAACGCAGATGGAGAAGCTTTGGCCAATCTTGTAGGTTTGGCCTGGGTCTCCAGAATCAGATGGGCCACACAAGTACGAGTCAAGCTCGACTGGATCGTGTGTTTTATCTTCGTCGAACAATTCCATGCTGGAGCCCACGATGTTGATTTCGTTATAAAAAGTCTGTAAGATTCCGTGCCCATCGATTTTGACCGAAATCAATGTATCAACAAAGGAGACATAGTTATCATAATGCTTCTTGGAAACCCTCGCGCCTAGAAGGCAACAAGACAACAATATGAGTGATTCGGGCAGG